TATTTCATCTTAGTTTCCAAAGGGCTGCTAGTCACTACTAAATATATTTAAAATCGAAGCAAAAAGAAAAAAAAATCACCTTCATTCTGGCTAAATAGACTATACAATGCTCACCTATTAAAGTCTTCTGCATTTTTCAGAAAAGATCAGATAGATGATTATACTTGTATAGTTAATTAACTAGAAAGGACCCAAGGAATGGTTCACTGGGGAGACTTTTGTATCACAGTGTCTGCTAGGAGGGGTCCCAGGCTGTTAGGACAATAACGGGGTGCTAATTCTGAATGCACACAGGGCTGTCCTACAAAGACATCAAGATTTGTAGGAAATCAACCCTCCAGCAGTCCTGGCAAGCCAGACTGACCCCAGCAAATGAAAATAATCAAAAGTAATTAGAAGCGTGCAGGACCACTCCTCAGAGAGCCGAATGGGAGAGTAAACACGTCTGAATCCTCGAGCCACTGCAAAGGCCCCTGTCTGAGCTGTTAGGTGCCCTGACCTTGTCCACATAAAGATGTGATTTATGAAGTGCAGGGCACAGCAGCAGGGCTTCTGTCTTCTCCTGGAGAACCAAATTACTGAGGTGGAGATTAACATGCTTTCAGTCGGGCCCATTTCCAGACCAAGGAAAATTTTTTATTTACATTTTTTTTTTTACCTTTAATTTCCTCTTTTCTTTTTTAAAAGCCCCCCCGCCCCAGATTTTAAAAATAAAAGAAAAAAGGCAGAGTTCATCAAGAATGGCCAGAAAAATCCCTCTCTATACCTATGGTGGTGTATTTGTTGGGGGGGGGGGGCACCAGAGACGTTCTGAGCTTTTTGTTTGTAAATTTGTTTTGTGCTGTTCTGTAACACACCACCACAGCCTGCATCTTCCAGCTGTGGGGAGCTTGTGAAATACTTCTCTGGCTGAAAAATATAAATAATTAAAATTAAACAGAATATGATCTTCGATTCCATAGCTTTCTCATCTAGTTTCTCTTGCCTAAAGGTTATGCTTCATTACAAAGCTTACTCTATTAAGTAAAAAGATTAGGGAGAAGAAATTGTGCATGGTAAAGAATTTGGAAGAGTTGGAGACGAGACAAATTGGGAGAAATATTTATATATGAATCAGCGGGCTTCTCTTGATTCCTAAAGACATATTTCATTATTTTTTATCTTTGTCTCAATTAAGGAGGGTGAGATTTTACAAAATCCTATTCTGACATGGAGAAGGAAGCATTGATTTTCTCTTTAAACACACATCAATATCTATACACGAAGCTAATTTAATTAGCAAGCAGTTATTGTTCAGCCAAATGTCAATTTCTCAGATTATTTCATGCTTCTTGACGTGAACTGTATGAAACAGGACTTCACAGAATCTCTGCGAACAAAACTGCACTTGAGAAATGTAAAAATGCACTTGTACCTTTTTTGAAAAGCTACAAAAAAAAAAAAAACAAAAAAAACAAAAAAAACCCCAGTGTTAAAATATGTCAGGCTTGGAGTTCAGTTTATATTTAGCCACCTTAAACCCAAAGCTGCAGAATTAAGGGAACACTACTTAGACTGGGGTTATAAAGTGCCTTCCTCTATAAACTAAAAACATAATGTCAGGGCGAATGGGAACATACTTTATTAACTTTATGGTATTGAAAACTGCCAGCAAGTTGTCTTGTGTTTAAATATTGTCCTCTGCAGAGTGTCACCGTGCTGTTTGTCCACAGGAAGCCTATTAAAAGTGGACAGTGCAGCCATTTCATCTGGCTTTGGCCCCACTGCTTTTCTTTGCTTTAATGATGTGCTGGAATGTACCATGCCCATAGGGTCTCCATTAGCAGAACTTTTACTTCTGGGACGACCATGAAGTTTAAGGCTTAAAAGAGGCATCGGTTTACAGTCTTGTGGGAATCACTTGAATACTGGAGCACTAACTTCTTACTGCTTTAACTAATATATTGACTTGTTTTAAATAAACAGTTACACAATGAAGACAGAGCCAGTGGCCTTATTGGAAATCTTGGGCTTTTTAAAGATTCTTCAATCCACACAGCTGAGGAAGGAAGGAAGGGGCCTGAGGAGGGTTTATGCCTTTTTCAAACCAGGAAGAAAACACATTAACCTCTCCCACCCCAGCCCTGCCATCAGCCAAAAGGGGACCTTTATAACTCCCAGAAAATCTATCAGCTCACACTCAAACCTCATATTTTCCAATGCCTTTTTCCTGGTAAACAACAATTAACAGAACAATAAAAAAATCATTCCTTCTGGAAAAGTGTTTTAAAAATGTGATTCTCTTGTTAGACACTGCTGATGAATCACCCCATTTTCCACTTTCTCCAAAGCTATACATTTGCTCTAGTTTGTTTCGCTGTTCCATCCCTTCATATTTAGATCATCTGTGCTGATACGTGTTTGCAAATTAAAGTGGGTTTGAGATTATAGTAAAGCCATTATTTTTAATAGCCCATTTCAGGGGCAGCTGAACACTGCGGTACACGCATGTTCCTGATTACTGCGCGCAGACAGCGGCTTCTGCCGATTAATTTGTAACTGGGAACTACTGTAAACAGATTTCACCAGAAATCCCAAGGAATAAGGGAATCGGTGGTGGTATTTTGTTCCTTGTATTTATTTATCGTTTTAGAAGTCTTCTCATGGAAAGTACGCTAACTGGACAGAAGCAAGCCCCTCACAATAATCTCTTTCTCTGGCCTTTTCTCCTGTTTCACTGGGGTGGGGGGCTTTCTAAAAAGTTCCCTTTAAATAGTAAGCGGCCCCTCTGGGGATGGAGCAGGCAGGTCCGGGATATCACGGAGGGAGGGGAGCGGCCTCTGCCCGTGCCCGGAGTTACTGTTACATAACCCAGCAGAGCCGGTGGACGGCAGAGGTGGAGATTCGGCGTTTTCTTTGTTAGCCTCCTTTGCCGGGGCCCTTCTGATGAGTTCCTGCAGTGTTTCTCACGATTTATTCAGTAGAGAACAAGACTAACGATACCGATAACGATGGTAGGATAATAACAACAAAGACGTAATGAATTCTTCATCCTTTTAAGTAAGTCTCCCCAGGTCCCAGAGAGTTAACTCTTGGCTATATTTGGGTAAGAGAATTTCATACGTAGACACGGCCTTAGCGCACACCGATTTCTGTGCGTCTGGGCTGCGCGGGGCCCGGGTCCAGACGCGGGCTCAGGAAGGTGCAGGACGGCGGGGACGCGG